AGAGAATGGATTCAAGGCCACAGGGTTGCCGGTAGGGCTGAGAGGAAGAAGACGGGCTTTGGCATCTTCACCAGCCTCTTTCTCCCCATTTCTCCTTCTCTGTGGGCCCGGACCACTTTATACACACCTCTGCTACAACACATATCACCTTGTCTTTTTACTCTGTTTCTCGTATCTGTGTCCCCTGCCATACCTGTGCTCTCCTTAAGAGCAGTGTGTACATTGTAGTCTTCTTGGTGACCTAGTGCAAAGCAGATATTCATTTGCTGGGAATAAGGATGGATGAATGGACAGATGGACAGATGGACAGTTGTTTGAATAACAGCAGCAGAAAAAGATCCAGAAATGCAAGTGGACCAGAGGATGGACAGGACTTAACATTAGCAATAAAGGGGAGGCCGGGCGCGGTGGCTCACACTCACAATCCCAGCACTTTGGGAGGCCGAGGCGGGTGGATCACCTGAGGTCAGGAGTTTGAGATCAGCCTGGACAACATGCTGAAAACCCCATCTCTGCTGAGGCAGGGGAATCGCTTGAACCCGGGAGGCAGAGGTTGCGGTGAGCCAAGGTTGTATTCCAGCCTGGGCAAAAAATGTGAAACTCCTCTCCAAAAAAAAAAAAAGAAAGAAAAATAGAAAACAAACAAACAAAACCAACAAAACAATAAAGGGGGACATACCCCAAAACACTTATTGAGTGAAATCCTAAGTGTTTGATCCTGAAATGTGCCTTACGGACCTGCCACTGTGTTCACTTTACCCTTTAGGAAAAAAGAGGCCTAGAGATGTTGGTGAACAGGTCAGGATTAGAACCCTGGGCTACCAGTTTAATGCTCTACCAGCTACCCTCTTGCCGCCAATGTTCAAAGCTAAGAATATGCAAAGGAACCCTTTGTACCCTCAAGGAGTTTGCTCCCTAGTGGAGGAAACACATCAGCACAAATGCAGCTCACCACAGTCAAGGCAGATTGCAATGAGTGCTGCCATGGGAAATGTCTTCAATTGACAAAAAAAGTACTGCCAAGGCTATGGGCCTTGGAGGATGAGCAAGACTCAAAAAGGCAAATGTGGAGGGGAGGGGAGGAGAGGGGAAATGTTTGAGACAGAGGAGGCAGTGTGGGCAAAGGCACAGAGATGACTGGAGAAGAGAATTCCTCACAGATATTTAATTTGTGCAATATCAGCAGGTGTCGAGGGTATGGTCCCTGGAGACCCTTGGCCACTGGGATGGCTTTCCTTAGAATGTGCCCTATAACTGCTTCTTGCTGCCCCTTCCTGCTGAGTTTCAGCTTGTGGATCATGCCCTTGGCCACAATGGGTATCTTCTAGGCTTATGTCTCGGCTAAGCCTGGCCAGCTTCAGCGCTGCCCAGCCAGCTGCCTCAGAGCTCAAGAGGAACCATCCCAAGGATGGCAGCACCCCAGCCCTAGGGCTTTCCTTTCCCACCTCTGCTCGGCCCCACGCATCCTCCGTGGAAGATTCAGCGGGAGCTGCATTCCTCCAGACATGTTAGGAGAAGTGCCAGAGAAGATGCTGGCTCTTTTCCAAATGCCACATGTCATGGCCACCATGATCTCTCCCAAGAGCAGCTCCCCGGAAGGCAGGACCAGATTTATTACACCAGCAAAGGAGATGGTGACCTCCACGATGTGTTCACAGGACTCGGGGGAGGCTTTGGCCCAGTCAGAAATATCTTCCCCACTCAGGAGTCTCATAATAACCTAGAGCTGGAAGGAGCGTGGAGATCACCTAGTTTAACCTGCTGTGCTGTGATGGCATCTCTGATAGGGAGGGTTTTCTTCTCTCCTAACAACTCCTGGTGATGCCAGCTCTCCCATTCTGGGCAGGTTCTCACTGGTAGAACTCCCTCACACAAAGGGAAATTGGTCTCTCTGTCCCTTCCACCTTCTGTCCTAGCTCAGCTCTCTTGCCTGCACAGTATAAGAGCAACCCTCTCCTGCATGGTGGTTCTTTAAATATTGAAGATAACAGTCATGTCCCTCCAAGATCTTCTGTTCTGCAAGTTTTTTTTTTTTTTTTTTTTTTTTTTTGAGACGGAGTTTCGCTCTTGTTACCCAGGCTGGAGTGCAATGGCGTGATCTCGGCTCACCGCAACCTCCGCCTCCTGGGTTCAGGCAATTCTCCTGCCTCAGCCTCCCGAGTAGCTGGGACTACAGGTACGCGCCACCATGCCCAGCTAATTTTTTGTATTTTTAGTAGAGACGGGGTTTCACCGTGTTGACCAGGTGGTCTCGATCTCTTGACCTCGTGATCCATCCGCCTCGGCCTCCCAAAGTGCTGGGATTACAGGCATGAGCCACCGTGCCCGGCCCCTGTTCTGCAAGTTTTTACCTTTCTTCAGCATTCTAGCCTTCCTCCACAGATGCGTTCTATATTTCCAATGTTCCTCTTATGGAGTAAACACGCTCCTCCTGTGTGGTCTGAACCATTTTCTCCTTTGTCCGGACACCAGTCTGCAGTCAGCTTGTAGTCATTCAGCCTGAGAGTACAATTACCTCCCTCCCTCCCTCTCTCTCTCCTTCCTTCTTTCTTTCTTTCTCTCTCTCTTTCTTTCTTTTTTCTTTCTTTCTCCCTATCTCTCCCTCTATCTCTCTGGCACATCATAACATTGGTACCTACTGAATTTTCCTTCCAACATCCCTTTATTTTTTTCCCACACGACATCCTTTTAAGTTCCATCTCACACATATAGCTTGCATTTTACTCCAACAGTACCAATTTATATTTCTGTCTACTCAACATCATCTTCTTGCTTTCAGCCTGTAATTCTTGCTTCATGAGCTCTTTCTCAATCTTAATTCTCTCTGTAAACACATTAACTATTTCAGTGTGTGGTATGATCAGCACACCTTCTACAACGTCACGCAAATCTTTGACAAAAATCCTCAACAGTATAAAGCTGGTTACTTTGGCATGAAACAGCTCCTTCCAGACTGAAATCTACTAATCAATACTGATTGGGGACAATCACTCATGTAGCTAAAAACTCCTCCACTTCTCTCATTCATCCTACCCAGAAGGATACCCTGAAAGACTTTGTCATACTTCTCTCTGAAATCAAGATATTTTTCGGAATTTTCCTTACGCCAGCCTAGGAATTGTGTGTGTGTGTGTTTTTAAAGGATAATAAAGTTAGTTTGAGATGATGTTTTTTCAATGAAGCCATTCTGGGTCTTGGCCATCCCTTCTTTCTTTCATAAATAATCCTATTCAAAATTTTTGTGAGCCAGTAATGCCAAACTTACTGTTACGTAGCTTCCAGAACCCTGATGTTTGCCACTTTTTAAAAAGAGGGACAACTCTTGCCTATTTCCATCTCTAAAAGCTATTTGTTTTTATCAGTTCACAAACAGCTAACAGTGATTTTGCAACCCTGTTCTTTCCATACTCCAAGATATAATTTGCCATTGTCCACAGCCTGGAGTTTATTTAAAGCTATGAGATGCTAGTGTACCATCTCCTCACCAATCTCAAACTTGAATCCTTTTAAAACCATCTTTCTGGTTTGATGATTGTTGTCCTTGAAAAAAACAAAGCTGAGTGGGAGTTCCATCGTTTGCTTTCCTTCTGTCGTCTGCTAACCTCATATGTCTGCCCCAGGATATAGCTGCCTCAATCCCTTGCTTTTTTTTTTCTTTCCATTTTGTTTCAAGCATTGCTTTTTAAGAGGGCAAGGAGAGAATGTGTGTGGTATGGGGAGTCTGGTGGGGGCAGGTGTTTTTAGACTCCAGTTCACTCCGGTCTTTGGCCTTCCTAGCACACTTCTAACAGGCCCAGGCTACTCTTCTGTGTTGCTTCTTACTCATACATGCCTTGTTCCACCTTTTATACATGTACTTTTAAATCATCACAGAACTCAGATTTGAAAATTCGAACTAAGATGTGATGTCCATTATATTTCACATTCCTCATTAGAAAGACGTGGGTTAGACTTTGCCCTCTTTTGCCAACACTCCTTAGAAATAGAATTAATAAGGAAATCCAACCTCACCCATAATTTTTTGATCACCTCTTATTTCCGAGGCACAGTACTAGATACTGCAAGTGATACAAAAGGGAACAAGAATTGTCCCTGCCTTAGACGCCATGGAGGAGGCAGAAACACAAGTTGCTATAGTCCTGGGTAGAAGGAGACAAGGGTGAGAATTCTGGTGTTTGCAAAATGCTGTGAAAGCCCCCAGGAAGGAGCCGATGTGAGCCCATGTCTGCCTGGGAAGGTGCAAGGAAGAGACATGAAGGGGGTGACACTTTAAACAGTTGCGGATCAGAGATGCAGAGAAGGCTATAAATTCCTTATGGAGGACACAAAGGAAAAGACGCAAGATGGTGTTTGGGGAACAGTAGAGAGTTGTGTGTGGCTAGATCGTACAGTGGACTAGGGGTAGAATGTAGCCCCTACACTCACTTCAAGCTTTTATTTCAAACATTCGTTTCAAGCTTTCTGCTTGACCCAGCATCCCGTCAAAAGCCTTGAGCACAACGCACCCTCAAATAAACTCATCAGCACCCCCTCCAAGACTATTCTTCCTCTGTGATCCTTAAAACTTTTTTTAAAATTTTTGACGTCACTGTCCTCCCAGTAAGTTGAACACTGAGCTTAGAATCAAAACATCTAACTTTGCGCTTGAGCCCGGGAGGTGGAGATTGCAGGGAGCAAGACTGCGCCATTACACTCCAGCTTGGGCGACAGAGCAAGACTCTGTCTCAGAAAAAGAAAAATCTGAATTTGGACCTCAGATCCAGCACTTTAGATTGGGCAAGTCTCTTAGGTTCTCTGAGCCTTTACCTCTTCATCTGTGAAATGGGAAAAACAGTGCCTGACTTGCCTCCTACAAGGGGGAGTCATGAGGATTAAATGAGAATGAGCTGAGGGCACTGCTTAGTAAGGGGTGGAGTGCCGTGTAGGGGTAAGAAGGATACTTAGTATGATCTGGTCCCCAGATCTGTGCACCACACAGTAAAAAATTCTTTTGGATGAAACTGAAGTTTCCTGAAGCTCACTATCAAGAAAATGTCTGGTGGAGGGGAGGACCAGGAAGGCCAGATGCAAAAAGGGAGTGTGGAGGCCACAGACCCAAGCCCATTTTGGCTGAGGCTGAGGTCAGCTGATTTTGAGACTCTCTTCAAAGCTGTCTGAGTTCACGCTGAGTGCCAGGTTCTGTGGGAAGTCGCTCGGCTGTGTCCCAGGGGAGCAGGCAGACTGTGAGGTGAATCAAGAATATTCCATAAAGTGGTGTGTGGTGTGTCGAGGTAGGAGGGCCAGGGCAGTGGGTGCTGTGGCTCTGTGGATGACTGCAGGGACAGACTCACCACACCCTGCCTGCCGCCCCCCACGTGTCACGCACTGCAGACACTCTGAGCACAGAGTTCAAAACCACTGACCTCAGGGAGCTCCATGGGATGGAGGAGACGCATGTGCCCATAATGCCAATTCAGCAGGATCAGCAGCACTGTACAGGTGTGCTCTGGTGACGGAAGCACAGAGGTAGAAGTTAGTGTCCGCCCGAGGGGCCAGGATGCTCAGGCAAGGCTTCCTGAGGAAGATACCCTGAGCTGAGCCTTAGGAATATGCGGTGGCCCAAGTACGTAAGGTAGGAAAGGGCATTCTGGACAGAGAAAACAGCATTTGCAGATGCACAGAGGTATAAGGAAGGCTTTTGCTCCCATGGCAATGTGAGAGGCAGGGAGGAGGCTGCAGAGGAGGCCGGGTCCACTGGAGGCCTGTGTCATGCTATTGCCTTCCATCCAGGGCAATAGGGAGCTTAGACAGCAGGGATGGGAAGCAGAGAGTATTTACGGTGCACTTAGGAAGAACTATTCATATGTTCTTGAAAGTAGAATGTGAGAAGGGAGAAAGGGGAAAGAGAAGTTGAGGGTACCTCCAGGTTTCTTTCTTGAATGCCTGCAATGGCAGTGCCATTCATCCAAACTGAGGATGGTGTGAGAAAGGAGCAGATGGAGGGTGGGCAGGAGAGAGCTGCTGGAGCCCCGGCTGGGGTATGGTGAGTTTGCGGAGGTTGCTGTGGGATAGGCAGGTGACATCCTACCTCGTTCAGTTCTGCATCTGAACTCTCCTGTCCCAAGTAGAATTTTCTCTTTCAACTGAATTGGGAGCACCTTGAGGGCAGAGACTAGGTCTGACGCATCTTTGTTCCCCTCAACACATTCCTGAGATCCTCACAGAGCTCCTGCTGGCTGTGAGCACTGCGTGGGCTTGCTAATTCCACTCCACTTCCTTTACCTTGGCTGCCTTTTGCACTTGATGATAAAGCTTCAAAGGACAGCATCATAGAAAAGCCTATATACCCAGGAGGCAGACAACCCTGGCTTGAGTCCTGGCCATGCCCTTCCCTAGCTGTGATATTGAGCACATCACTGGGCCCCTTTAAATTTGTGCTGTCTACCGTGGCAGCTGGTAGCCACTAACCACGTGTGTCTATTTAAATAAAAATAAAAATTAAATGAAATTAAACATTCAGTGACTGAGTCACACCAGGTTAGATTCAAGGGCTCAGTAGCCACGCGGTGTCTGTGTTATTGGAAAATACAGACAGAGAGTGTTTCCATCACCACAGAGAGTTCTATTGGACATCGCCAGGCTAAGATGCAAATGGATCTTAGTACTCACTGCAGAGGGCGGAGTGAAGGCCTGTGAGATTTGTGTGTAAAGCACTGGGCACAATGGCAGGCACACAAAAGACCCGCAATAAGCACTGGCCATTACTATTCTGAATGAATTAAGGGAAATAGCTGAGGTCCTGGGCTGCCACTGCAGCGTCCAAGACTCTCCTTGAGGATGCAGAGCTGCCAAGCCCTGTGAGTGTGCAGAGGAGACCGGTCCTGACCCTGGGGACAGTTGATGAAGGGGCTTCACCTTGCAGTTGGAGAATTTGGGGTTGGTGTCATGGGCAGTTCCTCAGGCATCACCAGAGAGAGGCACCTGGAGAATTTCAGTGACGCTGAGGAGGTGATCTCAGGACACCTGCAGTGGGGTGCCCTCACTGTGACGTCACTTGCTCATAATGTCACCATGGCCAGTTTAGATCTGCTCTGGGTCCTGGGCTGCAGCAGATGGGCTGGGAGCCAGGGTGGGCCAGGGAGGGGAGCCCTTGCTCAGAAGTCCATCTGCATCTTAATGGTGGGGAAGACTCAGAGCTTGCATCCAGATGGCCCGGCAATTTCTCTTCCTGGAAGCATGCTGCTTCCCCGCATGTTTTTGCTCCTCTCCTGTGCCCTGCATGTCAGGGGCCAAATGGGCAGGATCCATCACTGACCCTGCAGTCAGCAGGGAGGGGACAAGGCTTCGTACTTCAGCTCCCCCAGAGCCAGGCTAGATGCCCACACCTGGGAACGGAAGAAGCAGTGCAGCCCCCAGCTCTGGCTGTGCTGCAGAGAGGCTTCCCCTTGGTAGGGGCCATCCCAGAAACCCTCACCTTGCCTACCACTTCCTGCCCCTGAGAGGACAGCAAACCTGGCAGAGGTGTTCTGATGAGGATGCCCCTTGGGCCCACCCTCAGGGCGCCCTGGCTGGACACTGGATTACCCCTGAGCAGCAGCCTCCTTACAAGAAAAGAACATTCACTTTGAGTCAGGAAAGAGAGTTAGGAAGGGAATTTTCATGCAGCAGGAGCCCCAGGCAGGCTGGGTTCTGGCCAGAGGCTCTCATTGCTCCTCTGTGTGTCCAGCAAGTCATGCCCCTCTGGTCTTCCCAACCAGGAGCCAGACAGGGTCATCTCTAAGGCCCTCTCCTGCCCTTGGTTCTACCACAGGGCTGGCTGCAGTTCTCCTCCGGCTGAAGCCTGCTCAGAGGGAGACAGGAGGTTTGTATGGGCCAGCGCTGCTCTCCACAGCCCTCCCCCTCCCCACCTCCCCACCTCCATCCTTTTCTCCTCCCTAATAGGATGGATGGAGGCAGTGAGGAGAAATCCGAATAACTAATCAGAGTCCTCATTAACCCCCTGCCGGGATGCTCAAACATTCACTTTGCTGTTCGTGAAGCAGAAAAAAAAACTCTCCCTGCATTAAAATTGATGTGATATTAATCTCTGTGCTCCCAACCTTGTGGGTGGCTCTGCCTCCTGCCCGAGGCCCAGCCCATGGGGTCTGCTACCTTGGACCGCTTGGACTTTTATTTATTGGTCCAGTGCAGAGAGGCCTCCTCACAGGGAGTGAGTGGGCTTGGTGCCAACACATAGGCAGCTGTTTGTTTTCTCCCTGGCCTGGCCAGTGGGAGGCCTTTGCTCAGCCCCACCCCAGGGTACAACTGCCAGGCTGCCTTGCTGGGCTGGGAGGGCTGAGTACATGGCAGCTAATGGTGTGTCTCTCACCAGATCTGAGGGCGTGGTGACCCCCTCCACGCTTCAGATGAGCCAGCCTGGGAGTGGGCAGCTTCTCAGTCGAGTGGTGGATGGGCCAGGAAAGCCTTAGAGTTTGGCCCAAGTGCTGACTCTTTCTGCACACCTGAGACCACAATGCCCCCAATGGCCTCCCAGTGCCACACCCTACCCAGGACTTAAAGCTGTTCTCTGGCTCTGCATTCCAGACAAGTACCCCACATTTACACCCTCTGTGTAAGAGCTGGAATCCACAAATATTCATCTTGTGCCTGACCTTGTACCAGGAGCTATGAGGTTTCAAAGACATGTAAGATGTAGTCTCTATCCTCCAGGAGGGTGCACTGCAGTGGAGGCAAAGATGTCCATACATAAGAGGACACCATAACAACAGCAAGGGAAGGACAGAGGATGGACCCGGGAGGGCAAAAGACTCCTTTAGGTTCTCATGAACCCACGATGGTGTGGGAAGGAAGCATGGAGGAAATGAGACCCACTATGAACCCCTCATTCCCAGCCAGTTGATACTGGCTCACCCCTTTTTAGTGGTCATCCATCTGCCTCCCCTAACGTAGGCTTATCTGCATCTGTTGCCTGTCTTGATCTGAGAACACACATCCAGTGCCTTCTGTGTGAACTCTATTATGTGGCCTACTAGGCACTGGACCTTTAAAGACAGCTTTATATGGAGAAGAAGCTGAAAGTGCAGGGTAAGAAGAAAAAGGAATGTAATCCCTAGCTCTCATCTTGAATCACCTTCACTTAGTGCATTGAGAGATGATCAGAGGTAGCCTTCCTAATCTTTGACTCAGTTGCTGAGGATGATCGATCAATCATAGGCATACCTGGGAGACGTCACAGGTTAGATTCCAGACCACCACAACAAAGATAATATGACAATAAAGCAAGTCACATGAATCTTTTGGTTTCCCTAGGCATATAAAAGTTATGTTTACACTATACTACAGTCTATAAAGTGTGGACTAGTATTATGCCTTAAAAAAAACAACATACATACCTTAATTTTAAAAATACTTCATTTCTTAAAAAATGTTTACAATGATCTGAGCCTTCAGTGAGTCATAACTTTTTTGCTGCTAGAGGATTTTGCCTCAGTGTTGATGGCTGCTGACTGATTAGGATGGCGGTTGCTGAAGGCTGGGGTGGCTGTGGCAATTTCTTAAAATAAGACAACAGTGAACTTTGCTATATTGACAGACTCGTCCTCTCACAAAAGATTTTTCTGTAGCATGTGATGCTGTTTGATAGCATTTTATCCACAGTAGAACTTTTTTTCGAAATTGGAGTCAATTCTCTCTAATTTTGTTGCTATTTTATCAACTTAGTGTATGTGATATTCTAAATCCCTTGTTGTGATTTCAACAATGTGCACAGCATCTTCACTGGGAGGAGATTCTATCTCAGGAAACTGCATTCTTTGTTCATCCATAAGAAGAAATTTCTCATGCATTCAAGTTTGATCATGAGATTGCAGTGGTTCAGTCACATCTTCAGGCTCCACTTCTCATTCTAGTTCTCTTGCTATTTCTACCACATCTGCAGCTATTTCTCCCACTGAAATCTTGAACCCCTCAAAGTTATCTATGAGGGTTGAAATTGACTTCTTCTAAATCCCTGTTAATGCTGATTGTGATCTCCTCCCATGAATCATGAATGCTCTTAATGGCATCTAGAATGGTGAATCCTTTCCAGAAAGTTTTAAATTTATTTTTCTCAGATCTGTCAGAGGAATCACTGTCTATGGCAGCACAAGGCTTAACAAAATGTACTTCTTAAATAAGAATACATGGAAGTCAAAAGTACTCCTTGATCTGTAGGCTGCATAATGGATGTTGTATTAGTACGCATGAAAACTACATTAATCTCCTTGTACATCTCCATCAGAGCTCTTGGGTAACCAGGTGCACTGTCAATGACCAGTAACATTTTGAAAGGAATCTTTGTTTTTGAGCAGTAGGTCTCAATGTTGGGCTTAAAATATTCAGTAAACCATGCTGTAAACAGATAAGCTGTCACCTAGGCTTTGTTGTTTCATCTATAGAGCACAGGTAGAATAGATTTAACATCATTCTTAAGGATCTTAGGACTTTTGGAATGGTAAATGAGCCCTGGCTTCAACTTAAAGTCACAGCTGCATTAGCCAATAACAAACGAGTCAAACTGTTTTTTTGAGGATTTGAAGACAGACATTGACTTCTCCTTTCTAGCTATGAAAGTCCCAATTGACATCTTCTTTTAATATAAGGCTATTTTGTCTACATTGAAAAATCTGTTGTTTATTGTAGCCACCTTTATCAATGATCTTAGCTAGATCTTCTGGATAACTTGCTGCAGCTTCTGTAATACATCAGCACTTGCTGCTTCACCTTGCACTTTTATGTTATAGAGATAGTTTCTTTCTTTAAACCTCATGAACCAACCTCTGCTAGCTTCCAGTTTCTCTTTTTTTATTTTTTTGGAGATAGAGTCTTGCTCTGTCACCCAGGCTGGAATGTAATGGTGCAATCTTGGCTCACTGCAACCTCTGCCTCTAGGGTTCAAGCGATTCTCCTGTCTCAGCCTCCCGAGTAGCTGGGATTACAGGCACCTGCCATCATGCCCGGCTAATTTTTTCTTTTCTTTTTTTTTTTTTTTTTTTAATTTTTGGTAGAGATGAAGTTTTACCATGTTGGCCAGGTTGGTCTCAAGCTCCTGACCTCAAGTGATCCACCCATCTCGGCCTCCCAAAGTGCTGAGATTACAGGCGTGAGCCGCTGTGTTGGCCCCAACTTTTCTTCTGCAGATTTCTCACCTCTCTTAGCCTTCATATAATTGAAGAGAGTTAGGGCCTTGCTGTGGATTAGGCTTTGGATTAAGAGAATGTTGTGTTTGGTTTGATTTTCTATCCAGATCACTCAAACTTTTTCCATATCAGCAATAAGGCTGTCTCACTCACTTCTATATCATGTGTTCACTGGAGTAGCACTTTAAATTTCTCTCAATAACTTTTCCTTTGAATTCACAAGTTGGTTGTTTGACACAAAGACCTAACTTTTGCCCTATCTCAGTAATATAGTTAGGCTCTGTGTCCCTACCAAATTTCATCTCAAATTGCAATCCCCACCTGTTCAAGGAGGGACCTGGTGGGAGGTGATTGGATCATGGGTGAGTTTCTCCTATGATGTTCTTGTGTTAGTGAGTGAGTTCTCATGAGATCTGATGGTTGAAAAGTGTCTGGCAGTTCCCCTCACCCCTCTCTCCTGCTGCTATATAAAGTGTTCCTTGCTTCCCCTTCCCCTTCCACCATGATTGTAAGTTTCCTGAGGACTTCCCAGCCATGCAGAATTGTGAGTCAATTAAACCTCCTTTGTTCATAAATTACCCAGTCTCAGGTAGTTCTTTATAGCAGTGTGAGAACACAATAATACACTCAGTTTTTGACATGACTCCCTCACTAAGCTTAATCATTTCTAACTTTGATTTAAAGTGAGAAACATGGGACTCTTTCTTTCACTAGAACACTCAGAGGTCACTGTAGGGTTATTAATTGACTTAATTTTAAAATTCTTGTGTCTCACACACATGATAGTTATGGATGAAGTTCACTGTCTTATAGGGGTACATTTTATGGCACAAGATCACCATAACATATAATGAAAAAGTCTGAAATATTGGGAGAATCACCAAAATATGACACAGAGGCATGAAGTGAGTACCTGCTGTTGGAAAAACGCTGCTGATAAACTTGCTCAATGCGGGGTTGCCGTGAACTTTCAATTTGTGAAAAATGCAGTATCTGCAAAGCACATCAAAGTGAAGTGCAATAAAATGAGATATATCTGTGTATGTTGAAGTGCTGCCAGGTGCTAGGGTTTCAAGATGAGCAAAACAAGCCTGGGCCCTTGTCCACATGGAGTTTACAGCCTAACGGAGAAAACAGGCATTGCTCAAATAATCACAGATGCTGTATAATTACAACATTAATTACATTCTCAAACTGAATTAAGAAATTCATATAACAAAGGAGCCTTACCTGAGAGATCAGTGTAGCTCTGCTGAGGAAGTGACTCTTGAGATGTGAAAGCAAAGCAGGCTATTACTAGTTTAAAGGGGATGAAGAAAGAGCACCTTCCAGGAAGATAGGTAGCTTGTACAAAGGCCCTGTGGTGGGAAGCAGCATGGCTTCTTTGAGAGAACAAAGGCCTGGGTGGATAGAGGCCATACAGGAAGTTAGATGAGGCTGGAAAGGTGGGAAGGGCCAGACTGACCTTCTAGGCCATGGTAAGGATTTTGACGTTGATCTCAAGAATGGGAAAACCATATTGTGCTTGAAACAAGGGAGGTACAAGCATGTAGTAGAATGACATGTGTACCTTCAAAAAGATCTCTCCAGCTGTTTAACGGAAAACAGATGGAGAGTGTCAAGAATGTTAAATGGGTCATTGTAATCCCTTGCTGCTTCCTGTCTCCCATTTTGGTGAGCTGAAGTCTATAGAATGTTCCGGTGCTTTATGAAAGAAGATGCATATTTAAATTCTAATTACACAGTATTCAGCCTTAAATGGGAACCTAGGAATCCACAGAAATAAGCTATAGCCCTTGTGTTAGCACCCCTCCTTTCCTAACACAGCAGCGATTGAGGAAGTTACAACCACTTTGATCATTACAGACCCAGGACTGAGATGTACATGGGACCCTATAGAACAAGAGATGTACCCCAGGCTCCGTGAGACCAGATGTCAGGAGGGGACGTAGGAGCTGAGAGGATGAATGGGCTGGATTTGGAAGGACAGGAGGGTGGGCTGCAGGGGAGCCAGAGATGCAGAAATGTGGGGTGACTCCTGGTGTTCCAGGCACCGAAATGGCATGTGGAGCTAGGCATACAGGATCCATGAGACACACAAACCTGCAACCTCCATTGTCTACAAGCACCTCCTCCCCATTTAGCTAATGGCTCCTCTGTCCTCTGTTATTCCAGCTTGCTGTTCTTAAAGAAACTGCTTGTGTCTAGCTTAGGGCCAGAGCCCTTCTTTCTTTTATCTGAACAAATATGAATTGATCACATTCTCTGTGTAAAGATGCTCTGAGGGTCAAAAATCCCCACACTGCCCTTGCCCTTAAGCATGCTGCTCCTGGAGGGAGCTGGATATGTAAACAGTTAACTCTTGGGAGGCAGGATGACAGAAGCACTCCATGCCTGCAACCGCACAACCTGCTTTGCCTGGCGTGGTCTCAGTTGTAACCTGTAGTTGGTGTGTAATTAGTCATTGTGCTCTCTTTCACTCTCAAAATTACTCCAGTTTGGATGATAAATTGTGGGGTCATCCTAACAATGTGCCATGGCTTTAAAGAACTATGAGCAATTCTTTGTAGCAATTCAGGAGGCATCACAGAATAAATAATATTTGAGCTGAGTCCTTGAGGAATGAGCTGTATTTCAGCTATTAGAGTATGTGGAAGTGGAATCTATATAGCAGAGGGCGAGGTAGTTTAACTATAGCCCAGAGTAAAGATCAGAAAACTTCTCCTGTAAAATTTCGGACAGTAAATATTCCCGGTTTTGGGTTGCAACTGCAGTCATTCCTTGGTATTTGTGGGGGACTAGTTTCAGGACCTCCCACGGATACCAAAATTCACAGACGCTCAAGTCCCTTGTGTAAAATGGTATAGTATTTGCATATAACCTACACACATCCTCCTATATACTTGAAATCTCTAGATTGCTTATAATACCTAATACAATGTAAATGCTATGTAAATAGTTGTCCTACTGTATTGTTTAGGGAATAATGACAAGAAAAAAGGTCTGCACATGTTCAGTACAGATGAAAATATTTTTTCCAAATATTTTCTATCCACAGTTGGTTGAATCCATGGATGTGGATATGGAGGGCTGACCACGTTTAATGCTGTCATCATAGTGGAAAGCAGCCATAGACAATAGTAAACAAATGGGCATGGCTGTGTTCCAATAAAACTTTAATTACAAAAACAGGCAGCCTCAGTATTTGGCCTGTGAGTTTATATCTTAGTCCTTTTGAGGTACTACCACAAAATACCTTAGACTGGGTAATATATAACACAGGAATTTATTTCTCACAGTTCTGGAGATTAGAACTCTAAGATCAAGGCATCAGTAGACTCAAGTGTTTGATGAGGGCTCCTTTCTCACAGATGGGACATTCTATGCGTCCTCACACAGGGGACGGGTAAAAGGAACTTGCTGGAGCCTTTTTTATAAGGTCACTAATCCCGTTAATGAGGGCAGAGCCCTCATAAATTAATCACTTCCCAAAAGGCCCCATCTCTTATTAGCACCACAATGGAGATCAGGTTTTGACGTGAATTTTGGAGAAGCACATTCAGACCATAGGGCGTGGTTTACCAGCCCTTGACCTAGCATCCTTGAAGGAGAGTCTTAGGCTGGAAGTTAGGTAGGAGCCACCTCATGGAAGGTCTCGAATACCTGCACTAAAGATGTGTCATATTTTAAAAAATAATCATTTATGATTTTGAGCATAGGAGTGGGTGATCTAAGGTCCTGGGGTTCATTGTTGGAATTTAGAGGGTACTGGAGAAATATGGGGAACAGCAGTGCAGAAAGAGGCCTAGCTTCGGGAGGCACATCCGAGTGCTGGTAGCCATCCCTCCAGACTCTTCCCCTTTGTTCTACAGCCCCCAACACTCCCTGTTCTCATCATCGTTCTGAGGGTGCTGAGGGGCCCTGTCCTTTCTTACATAGACACAGTCACAAGGTGCTATCCTCTGCATTTCCCATGGAGTAAAACCCCCTAATGACCACCTTTCCCGCCCCACCCAGGGTGGCACTGCTGTCATGGGTTTAATCCTGATGAGCCCAGTGGCTCCTGGGCAGCTTCATGACCAGAACTCCCCACGGATTATGACGCCCTCACTGCTGCATCTCTGTGGCAGATGCTTGGCTGCAGAGCTGGAAGGGGGAGCAGTTAGCCATCTGCCATCATACCTGTGTCCCCCAGTTCCCTTAGAGTGTACAGGTCACCTTTCCATTGAATATCCCAATAGTTCAACTTGAAATTTCAGTATTGATTCTTTTAGTGACCTTAGCCAAGACAATTAAGTCTTAGTTTTGCTTATTCTGTCTGTGAAATGGGTGTATTGATACTAGCACTACCAACCTTCCAAAGTTACAGTACAGTGTAAACAAAAAGTTAACAGATGGGATTGGACATGCTTTGGGTTGTATACATCATCTTGCAGAAAACAGCAGTACATAAGCCTTATTAACACTGGACCAAGGCAGAGCGAGGAGTCCCCTGATGCAGACCATGGTGGAAGGAATCATCTGGTCCTAACCTCACTTTGCAGATGGGGAAACTGAGGCCCAGAGCAGTGACGTGCTGATGCAGGAGAGTTATGGATAGAAGCTAGGTATCTTGGCTCCTGGTGCGTTTTCAGCATCTGTTGAGTTTCTCGGTGCCAATTTTGTAAGAACAGGGATCCTGGGCTTTCTTTTGAGCCAGGTCAAAATCACCATGGCTGGAAGGGATGTCCTAACTTTCAGATATCCTCTCGAATCCCAACTCTTCACAAACAGCCTAGGGAGAAAGGCATTTTAAATAAAATCCTTTTACCATCCCTTCCACTTCAGAAATTCATTTCTCAGCAGCACCTGAATGAGAATTTTACAGACATTTCATTTACCTTCCTGTTGCCTTCCTTTGCTGTCCTCCAGGAGCTGGTTATGACTGAAATCTCTGCAAGGCACAAGGTGTAAATCTTCCTTGAGTGGAAGCTGTGCCCCGGGGCGCAGGTCATCAGATCGGCACCGTCTCCATATGCGATGTGGTCATCATGGGAGGAAACAGAGCGCTGAGAAGGGCAGGGAGGCACAGAGAGATTAATTTCTTCAACGTCATGCTTCCTCTGCCTTCCTTAATAACGAAAATTTACATGTGTGGGGAAAATCTCAATTTCTCCTGGAAGGCATGGCAGGGAAAGTCGGAGAGAGCGTTCTGCCTGTTTTGCAAGTGGGTGTGAGAATAGGGCTCTGTATCCATCTGACTTGGAATCTTCTGGCTGCTTGCTGAGCGTGGCATGACCCTGAATTGGAATCTGTGCCTTTGTGTGTCTGTGACAGTTTTTCTGGGATTGTGTGTGTGTGTGT